GATCTACTACAAAAAATACTTTTTCACCCACACAAGGCCCTTTTACCCACTGATGATGTTCTTCAAAGAGGGGATCTGTCATTGCTGGCAAAGGACCAAGTTCTTCAAACTCCGGTTAAAGTTTAAGTTTGGCTTGTTTTCAAAAACCAGGTAGATAAGACCAGACCATCTACACCTTTCTCTCTGATTTTTGCAGGAAAAGCCTGGAACCTGATCCACATGAGACTCATTTAAAGTAGGTTATCCTTCCACTTGTTACAGAGCTCAGAACCAGCTATAAACAGCTTCAGCTTCAACTCTTATGCTGGGTTCACACCAGAAGCGTTTTAAGTGTCCAAACGCTTAAATGGCAGAAATTTGGACGCTGGATCAGATTCTGGATTAAACTGTGGTTAAGTTGCTTTGAGGCTTCAATGCTCTGGATGCTCTGCGCTCTGGTTGTTTATCTGCTCTGTTCAGTTGCTACAAGCTAGAGAGCAGCTTGGCTTTATTTACTTTAGGAGTTTGACACTTTTTTAAGCGAGAAAGTCCACATCCAAACATCATCTGTGCTGTCAGTTCATCAGGATTATGATCCTACTAAAATATGTAGTTCTTGTCCGGAGCGCCAGACATCCAGCATACCACGGGCCCGGCCAGTGCTGGAAATCTCTGCGGCAAGCAGGCTGTAGGGAATTTTCCGCTGCTTTTCATAGTTGCTGGTAATCAATATAAAGAGTGTGTAGGTTTGTGGTAAAAACTGCAAGTAGCAGAATATATAATCGAATATTTTTTGTCAACAGGTTTTAACATTTTTAGTTAACTTGGGTATTTATAAACCGTTTCACCATAGTTTATACAATAAATGTTTTAGTGCAGCAATAATGATCAGAGCTTGCCGTGTTTTCCTTGTAGCCTACATAACAATCCATTATTCCAGCTTTTTTTTCAACCTTTGTAGTTTAACCCCAGTTTAGCTCTGCGGGTAGTGCCTGTCTCTGCTAAAAAAAAACTCCTGGATCAGCTTTTCTGATTGATTGATGCTTCGGCGTCCAGCAGCAAAAGTTCTATTTTCTGAACTCCAGTGTTGAACACTCGCATGCGTCACTCCCGATGCTTGGGACGCCTTGCTGGACCTCTCAACGCCGTCCCCCATAGACTTTGCATGTAAATCAGACGCTTTGACACTGTGTGAACGCAGCATTAGCCATGCCTCTTAGGCCCCGTCCACACGAAGACAAACCCTGGCCTAAACGCACAAATTTTTCACCAAACCAGCCTCTCATCCATACGAAGCCGGAGTTTCGGGGGTCTGTAAACGATCTCTTTTTTATTCAGCCTTCAGAGTGGAAAGATTTCGAAACGCCGTTTTCGCGTTTCCATCTTTACGCTCTAACCGTATTTTTTTTTTTACACGCATGCGTCATAGCGTCGCCTCTAAACACGCATGCGCGACCAGTATCACAACAACAATGGCGCCGTTGCTGCTAATGCTACTCACCCTGCTGTCGGGCTTACAACAGAATCTTCTTCTTCTGGAATATCTCCAGGAAGAACAGAGCAATATGGACGACATAGTTCAGCACCTGAATTTGACTTAACCACGAAAATGGACCCGCAGGGCAACCATGTATAA